TGCACATAGTCAGTTATCAAAATTAGGAACAAGTAACATACCTTCCAAAAGGTGTTAAGCGGTATTGACATACAGGGTGACTTCGAAGTTGAGTCATTTATTTTAACAGTGAATAGATCTGATCAAAAGAAATGTTTTTTTCCTTTACCATTTTTCTGGTAAAATTAAAGTAACAAAGTTATAGCCCTTTGGAAGTTTGAGGACCGCCCTGTCTCAATATCATGTGCTCGTGTTTGGCAACAACGGATATAATCCGCCTTACCGGTTCATCGCATCGGAAACAAAAAAGCGAAGGAATTTGGAACGATGTTTGTGTACAGTTTATTATTTTATTCAGTTCAGTTATACATACAGTCACTGTCAGTGTCGCGTGTGAATAGTGTCTGTTGCGTGGCTCAAACGAAATAAAAAATGGCACATGTTTATGCGGATCGGTTTCCCAATCGAGTGCAACCAACCCCTCGTGCCTTTGTTAATGTAGTACAACGGGCTCGTGAATCAGGTAACTTAAGACCTCACAGGGGACCTCACGATCAAATACAGGTCCGCACTGAAATACTTGTCGGGAGGATACTTTATAAAACAAGGTAAAAATTTTTTTTTATTTTTTTTTTATTTTTACACACATATTTTGGTTTATCTTCCTTCTACAATCATTATCTGAAAATTAATGACTCAACTTCAAAGTCACCCTGTATATATGTACCTTGTCACTAATTGTTCGTAGTCCATACCTCTTTGCTGGCAAAAATTTGGTGCTATCTGTTAGCCTCGTAGTTAGTACTACCAGCCAAACATATGCTGCTGTAGGACCAACTTACGGTAACAGGATAGGAAATTTACTGAGTGTTCTGCTCACAATATTCACAGCTGTTTCATAATTAGTTTCAAAACTTTATACCTAGCTACTGGTTTTTATCGTGTAAAAAATTCACTTCATATTTATGTATTGAAGTTGACTTTAATTCTGTAACTTACTCTACTGCCAAACATTAAAGTGGTTACCTCGTTAGTTTGTGTTAAAACTAACTTTTATTTGAATTATTCACGCGATAATTATTATACATGAAAAATGTTATAAAATCACAGCAGCAAATCGGGATTTTAGTTTGTGTAGCTAATTTTAGTTTAGCTGTGTAAACACTGCCAATGAAGATATCTTTGAAGCGAGCGCTAGGAGTGAATCATTTCAGGATCTTTCAATTCGTTAATAAGAATAGGACTATCATTGGGATTCTAAAGCACTCTGTATCTCTCTCTCTCTAATATAATTTAAGTAAACTTCGTACCAGTAGATATATTGAATATCTAGGGATAATTAAATTTGATTATTTTTGACTTTTATGGGAAATCTCAATACTTAACTGACATGTTACTAACTATTACGTCACAGCTTTGGCGCCAAAATGTTTGTTCTCACGTCTCGTTCATATAAAAATGTAAAATAAAGACAATATGGCTACTCCTTTAAAAGTGTATTATCGTAGTATATTCTGTTGAAATAGAAAAATTGGAAAATGCATCATTGCCAATTTTATTCCTAGTAAAACGCATTGACACCTTATTTGGATGTTCATTCTAAAGGATTTTTTTCGCAAGTCTACGGTGTAGGACAGTGCAGTACGGGAAACTGATACTCAAATTTTCGCGAAGAACGGGAGGAGGGGAAGACGGATGTGACGTCTTCCAAATGTCAAGAAATCACGTGGTACGATTAACCGCCTAACGACGGTGAGGTACCATCGGGTCTTATGTCAATGTCATTTATAAAACAGACATATAAATTGGAAATTTATCTTTGCAGTGCCGAAAATTGAGTTAAATTATTGAATCATAAATGGAGAAACAGGTCCACCTGATTTTAAGTGACGTAGGAGAAGGTCATTGTAGATAGGAACTGCACTAGTCATATCAATTGGTTGATTTTACTGCTATATGTGTACATTGCACGAAAAACGATCGGTCTTTTTATTTCAGATTCAAAGAAGGCAGCTAAGTTTATCAAGGAGCTTAAAGCAAACATTTTGCGCAACATGCGCCATCTAACCACTCTCGGTGTATCAAGGTGCCCGTCGAGGGAAAAATATGCGACTGAAGTTTGCGGCATTGTCATGTGACAACGCTTGACTGTCTCTTTTTGACTTCATTGTCAAACATTCGTTGAATGACATTTTCGCGCGACTCCCTACCCCTCAATGAGCGTGCACCTTTACCTGCCAAATTTGCAACCGTAAACAATGATGAACACTTTATGGTTATGGCTTCAAAGTTTTGTGCGTTTTGAGACAGAAAATGAAATATGCGCCATCCCCCCACATTAATTGACAACAAGGGCAGATTCAGCCTTTGAGTCTGGTCGGTTTCCGCTCTTGATAGAGAATTTTGCGTCTCCAATGCCGCTGCGGACTAAGGCTCTTTTTGACTGGGTTACCGCCGGTGACCGACCCGATCCTGTTTGTGGTACATAGATCCTACTACCGGCTTAACGTGATTTTCTAACCAATTCCAATATGTAACACTAAGCAGCTATTTCAGCTCCGAAATGGCGCGTGTTTGAATATGCAATGACAGCGGCATTAAGCTATGCAAGCGAAATGAGTTTCGGTGCTGTTGCATCTCCCAAAAAACTTTTAGCGGAATAATTTCAACATGTGGTTACCGCATGGTCCACGGCACTCGCGCCGATTTCGTCCAACCACAGCGAAATGTATTGATTTTGTAATTAAAAGTAGGTACATACTTCGTAAACACTGGATGATCGGATTTAGAATTTGCTTATGTTAGACTTCAGCGTGAGCCGGGTTTATTTGTTTCCACATGCGCCTATATTAATGTTACCAACTTAAATATGCAACAAAAGTGGTTGCTTTTTATGATTATGGATACCGGTTTAAAGATATAAATTACTTTCTGTCATTTTGCTCTGAAGAATATCCAGAGGAGGCGCATCTCTGGAGTACCTGTGGCACTGTTGCTCTAAATACACTGTACATACTTGAATTTTAAAACATTTTTTTGTTGGCATCATTACAAAATGAGTTCCTGTTGAATTGACTAATATTTTAGTATAATATCGTCTATCAAAGGTCTCTATGGGCAGAAGTAGGAGCAGATCTAGAGAATATTTTCAGAGATGGTCCACATGAAAAAAGTGCTGGGGTTGGAGATCAGAATTTATGTTCAGGAGCATATCCGTCTCAAGAGGGGGAGGGTGGATCGCAGATTGGAAATTGAAGAACATGCAATTTGTTCTCTGATATCTCGGGGTGTCTGGCCCCCTGGACATCTTCTATGGATACGCCACTGGGCAACAGGTTCTGGTATCAACGGATTCCGAGTTACATGGTGAGCAACCATAGCAAGTTCAAAGAAATGGTTTCGCGAAAAACATCAGCGTGACCGTATGGTATCTTTTGACGTTGATGTAAAATGTAATAAATTACTACTTAAATGCTGTTTTGATCGATCTACTGGACCGTCTTGAGAGAGAAAGAAGTGGGAGATGCTTACTGTAAAGCTAAAAACGTAGTATGGTATAGGTAAATACGTAGAAGATTCTACTGGGTATTAATGTTTTGTGAGTTACATGGAATGTAATAAGGTGACTGATCTTAAATTTTTATGAATCTTGGTAATTATTATCTCTATATATATATTAGAATAAAAAATACAGTACAATGTTTTTTTATAACAATTCAAGCAAACAAGTTTTCGTTTTTTTGATTTACATTGCAATTAGCGCATTTAGGAACACCTTGTCCCAAATAACGCCAACTATGATTTTATATAAAAAATATATAAAACTGGTCATGTTAAAATAGAAAAAAAATATTATTAACGTAAGTTGTTATTTAAAGTTTATTAAGATACAATCAATGCAAACAAATGAAATTTTATAAATTTTCGATAAACCTACACACTCTTAGTGAACATAACGGTTACAAACTTTTATGTTTTTCTTCCAATTGATTTTTTCAGTAGATGTAGAAAACAAACCTCTGACAACGTGTGTCGTTGAGTAAATTGCTTTGCGCCTTTTCACACTTGTCGTTGCTTTAATATCAGGAGTTGTAAAAAACTCAGTCAAGTTTTGGTTATTTCTATCATTCTCATCATAATTTTGTACTTATCCCTTTTTGGTCTTTACTTTTGCTGTTATTATTCGTGCGAGGACTTTTGGATTTTCTGTTTTATCTTAACGTTTACTTCGGTATTTTTATTCGCTCCTTTCGGATTCATCTTTATGCCTCCCTTAATGCTTTGAGACTGATTTTCCTTTCTTTCAAGATTATTTTTAAAGTAATCAGCTTGTTTTAAAGAACTGGGCAAACTTGAAAAAACTATTTCCCTTCCATTATTTTGATAAATTTCACTGGCTCCCATAACACCTTGGATCTAACTTTTCTCTTTTTTTTTAACTTATAGCAATCGGAATATTCTGGGCTGGCATTATTACGCGCACTAAAATATATCTATATTATGGATTTTACATAACTGCTTACGCTTTGATTCAAAGTATAAGCTTGATTCAAAATAAACTTACCAAAAATGACTTGGACATCAACAAATATAATTTACACAATGATTAAACAACAAAATTCTTGCAACAAAAACTTTACCGCCAAATAACGTTGTTGGTAAATGAGGGCAATGCATGTCGCGACAATTGTTGCATTCAGGAAGAAGTTTTTTATTTCCATTGCTTTCCTGGATAGGAATCTACCAAACTATATCACATAGTTTTTGCCACTTATCTGCACCGATCTCGTCTTTATTTTTATATATGATAGTTTATTATTGCACGTACACTTACATTTGTCACAACTATAGATTCGCGAGGAAGCTGATAAACAACAGCGAAACCTCAAAACAATGCTTGAAACATCTATTATTGGCAGCAACTCCAAAGTTATACATCTTTATATTGATCGGTGAATATTAAAGTGGATAACACGTTTCTCCGATGAAAACTTCTCATTTTTAAAATTATTGTTTTTATTTCAGCTAACAAGAGTCCACCATTCTCGTCGCCCGCGTACCGATCGTATGAATGGCGTCATAGATAAGCCCCGCCTTCGCGCGTTGACCACGCTCACAATGCGGTGGTCATAGGTGGCGCTGCAGGCGGTCGCTTGCCACCCGCCATGCACTTCTATCCGAGAATGAGCGGCTCGGGTACCGCCCTTTCCGCCACTGGCTACGCCCACTGCCGCTCCGGCAGCGATTCGAGGCTGAATCGACGAACGGGCGGTGTCAGCGAGCTGCAGGATGGGTTTGATAGTGAGGATAGCTCCATCTCTGATCTCGATGGTAAGTTTTATGGCTAAAGCTAGATATTACATAGTTTTCAGAGCACTAGAGTGAAGCGTGGTGATTTGACAGTGATGACAGGTTGCTCATTTTGACGTGAAGATAATGCCAAAACTTCAAATCCATGTTCGTTCCAGTCTCGAGATTTTCTTGCATTTTGTGATGGGGTATATCAAAATCCGAAAAAAAAAACGGGAACATTAATCGGCTAATCTATTGATAACCCTAACGACTTACATAGTAGGAATTTGAAACTATAGTAGATATTACTCTGCCAAGGCAATACAGGGTAAAGTTGGACCACTTGTATCATTAGGGATATTTTGTGAAATAACTCGTAAATTACTCATTTGAATTGAATGGTGACCTAAAGTAATATTGCTTTACATGCTTTCTTGAGAATCCACAGCAAAACACTTATGTAACAAGCACATTCTTAAAACGTACAAACAACCCGGCTGCAGTAACTGAAAAGAAAGAATATTTAATTGTGCCATCAAAAGAAATCTAGAGACACCTCATATGTCAAATAGCACCAGCCCCATGAAATAGGAATTTTAAGGTTGATTTTTTCAAATCCACTATCTTATTTATGTAAAATTTCAATGCAGCCAGTATCGTAGTACGGCTAAGACAAAACCCACAAGATCATATGTTAAAATCCACCAAGCCGCTCAGACTGTAGCCCGTGAAATAAGAATTTCAACGGGGATTTTTTATTAAAATCCGCCATATTGTTTTGACAAAATCTTAATATGACTAGTGTCACTAGCACAGCTAAGTCGAACCCCACGACACCTTATATGTCAAAATATCTCAAGCTGTTTGGCCTGTAGCCTTTGGAATAGAATTTTTTGGATACATATACCCACGGTAAAAAACATTACCCACCTTCTGAGGCTGTAGGGTAAATACTGCAATTTTTGAATGAACTTTTTAAAATACTGTTACAAACGGTAGAATTTATCGAACCAGCTCATTAAGTTGCACGAGGCGGGTTGTAAATTGTAAATCGAAAAATCTAATTTATAGAACAAACATAAGAATCGCCAGTACATTGGTAAAACAAAAACGTTATCGTTACAAATCACCTACAATACTAGTTGTTTGCATCAGACCATATTCCTTATAAAATATTCAGGTACAATTTAACAGACCAGATGGTGGTACAAATTGCTGAACCGGGGGTATGTTAACACAAATTGCTTATTTCATTTTGAAAATTGAGATCGAGTTACATTTCACATGCTTAAAATAACCAATAATCACGAAAAGGCCACCTCAACTGCCAGAAAGCAATTAATTAGACACAAAGGCTCATCTAGAGTTACATATGAATTATAGATGAACACGTTCCGCAGAAAAAAACAAACTTCAACTTTTTCGAATGTTTGCCGGTAATAGGGTTTGATACGTCTCTGAAGTTAGCTTCAGATTCAGATTCGAATATCATGAAATTTCAGACGACCATTTCAGTAGTGAGCTCAAATCGCCGATATGATAGAAAACTAGTATTTGCCACCACTGAGGACCATTTTATGTTACTTATTATCAAATACGGTTTTTAAGCAAATTATTATAGACAATATACCGAAATTTGATATTACCAGTGGTGGAGTGAACGGGAACACGATAGCAAGTAGGGGAAGATGGCCCAAAATGATCCCCCTAAGGTGGAAAGGCGCAAAAAAGCAACGTATACTAAAGAAAAAAATTTAGTATATTTTTTTGGAATGTCAGTCTACTGCCCTTAAATATATTCTTATCTTTTTCTGATTTGACAGCTAATTAATTTTTTGGGAGATGTTATGCAGATGTTTGTAAAAGGATCATTTTACCCTGATAAAAATACAAAAAATCGTGTTCAAAACGAAAAATGAGTGTACTAACTGTTTACGCACTTTCTTCACCTTTGCATTATCAATACAATAGTCACAGCAATATTGATCGCAGTCATCATCGTCAAGTCCCGCACCCTCATCATGCGCGCAACGATAGCACATTGAGCACTGCACCCATCCTTCTTCTAAATTAGACTGTAGAAATGTTTCCGTACAAATAAGACATTCTGTATCTTCTTCTTCTTCGGATTCCTCTGAAGACTCTTTGTAATTCTTGTCCTGTTTAATTTTCTTATTATGGTTATATTTTCTTACACTTTGCCTTTTAATTTATTTTAGAACCTTTTTTTCTGCTAATTTATTATTGGTCTTTAAATTGTTTTTTTCGACCTGCTTTTCCTTCTTCTGTTGTTCTTCTAACAATTGTTTTTTATACGGTCTACTTATCAGAACTACTGTTCCTCCAGACTTCCTTGATTTTGAGCTACGTTTTTCTTGTGCCATTTTAGGGAGTGGATGAACATCACTTGGAAGGATATTAAAACCACTTTTTGATGTCAAAGGTTCATCAACCAAAGCTAAGTAGGATTGCGGAACAATTATTGTTGGTAAAGCGTCATTTTGCTCGTTATTTTCAATACTTTTTTCATTGACCTCATCATTTTCTTCATGGGCCCCATTATTTTCATCTATGACTTCTTCGATTTGTTCGTGGCCGTCACCATTTTCCTCGTGCACACCATCATGCTGAGGTATGTTTTGCTCGGTCACTTCAGCAGCTACGAAATCAATGTCTGTGAAGACATCGGGATCGTACGGAAAAATTCCAGTCTTCTTAAATCCGTTAATTGCGGAAGATTGAAGATTTGTGAAATTTGGAAAACGCTTTCAACTCTTCCTGGGTGATTGGTAAGCCACTTCTCCAATGCTTTGTCATGGTAATGATTAAGCGGGTACATAAAAATCACGTCTAGTGGTTGAAGTTTATGAGTGGTGTGTGGCGGTAAGCATAAAATGGTCACGAAATTATTTCGTGCCTTTTCAATTACACTTAAGTTTTTTGTGTGCGAACGGTGGCCTCAAGAATGAGAAGTGCGCCATCTTTTAACGCTTCTTTCATTCGCATACGAGCAAAAATAATCATAGGAGGCACATATGAACCAAATGCAGACATACAAATCACGGCATTAATGGACGTACCACGTTCTGTAGATACCTCTGCCAACTTGTTTTCTACCTCTTTAAGCTAGAATTCTACAATTTTTTCTGGGACGGTACTCAAACAGGTTTCATCGGCGTTATAAATCCTATGTGCTTGAAACTGTATTTTGTCATACACAGATGTTAACAACTTGAAAAATTTGGTTACGACAGGGCGGTTAAAAGCACGAGCACGAGCGGCTGACGATGACTCCGGTGATCTTAGCGAGATCTGAAGGTGCCTCTTTCGAAAACCGATCAACCAATCTTTGCCAACTAGACATGTTACCTTGGAAAACGGATGGACAATACATATTATTTTTCTCTGCGAGCTGATAAGCGATCGATCTCACATCTCTGGTGGTGAGACCGTACATTCTGCTTTCCATATGAGCTACCAACTCCTATTCCTGTTCCTTAGTGAAAACCCCTGTTTTGCTTTCCAGTTTCTTAACGTTATTAACAGCTAACTTGTTAGTTCCTATACAGCGTCTCTTTAAACTCATTAACGGAACACCGAAATTCCTGGCCGCCGTTTTGTAGCCATGGCGGACCTCTTCTATTGCTTGTTGCATTTTGTCTTCGTCCCATAACTGCCTCTGAGTTTTTCTTTGATATTTTTGAACCATTTTCTTCTGCAACAAGAAAATAAAACAATAAAACGATTTAATATTCGATAAGCACATCCCCTATACTATTGGTAGGTAATAGCCCAATAATGATCTTATCCACTTCTATTTTGTTGTTTTAAATGTTTGCAGTAAGAAAAATGTAAAGAATATATTTGAGCGGAGAGGGATTTTTTTGCCCTGAAAGTATACATATTGCACAAGGTTATGGTAACTTAATGCCGGTTTTGTTTATATTCTCGTAAACTCGTGAAACAATACACAAAATTATGTGTTTTCATAAAATGTCTTTCAATTTAATGTTCCTAATACTATAACACTGCTACTACAATATCTTAATAGCACTTACCTTAGATCAAAGAGCACAAAAACCTGTTTTCACAAATATTTTCATTAAGACGTTGTTCCCACGTTCGCTTTCAGTGCTGAAGTAAGTATGGCGACTCAAATGATCGTAGACACCCACTCGAATCAAAGAGGGCAGCATTGGTATTAAAAATAAAGGGAGGAATCATTGTGCCCGCAGGGATCATTTTGGGCCACCTTCCCCTACTTGTGTGCTATTTTAATAAGTAAAATATCAAAAATGATTTAATACATGACGTTACTATTGTTATTATGCCCAATTGTCTTACTGCTGTATATACCACATACCTAAATCAGGGTAATACAGGGTGATTTCGGTAAGCGACACGAACGAATAAGTACATTTAAAACTGAAAAAATCGCAAAGCCCAAACGAATAATTGTGCCACCGATTAATTCATGTATATTGTACAGACCTCTTAGGAGTTCATCTCTACGGCATAGCAGTGCGGAAAATCACGGACGGGTTCATACAAAGCTTGACTCCTCAAAACAGAGAAAAAGTCGCAGAACCCAAACAAAGAATTGTGCCACCAACAAACTCATATACCTTTTAAAGACCCCATAGCAGTGCATCTCTACGGCATAGCTTTGCAAAAGATCAGGAGGCTACATGGTGATTCTGTTCATTGTTCATATAAGACGTTACTGTTTATATTAGAAAAAACTCGCGGAACCTAAGAAGATTTGTGCCACCAACAAACTCATATATGTTGTAGAGGTAGGGGGGGAGTACATTACATATTTAAGGCACAGCTTTGCGAAAAATTAGAAGACTACAGGGCGTTTCAGCACATACGGGTTGACTCCTCAGAAAATCGAAAAACCCAAAGGAAGAACTGTGAAGCTCTATTGTCTGGATATAGGACAAACGAAAGCTTTATTACTAGTATATTATACTACGTTTTCTCCCCACCTGTAACAGCAATAGCAGACGGAAATGCCACAAACTGGAAACCTGCAGCCAAATTTTTTGTACGCGTATGTATACCACAACAGCAATTGTTGAAGAGGGAAAAACTGGAAAGGGTTATTTTTGTGAGTCCATTGTGCCGATGCAAATGAATGATGACGTTATTGTTTGGTTCGTACTTGTGCTGTTTTGTTCTATTGCTGCCGATAGCGAAACCTCAAGCCAAATCGTGATCGTTACATACAGAAAGGATGGTGAAATTGCACACTCCATCGGCTTTCATCACAGGTTTTATAAAATATGAAAACTTGCATTCTTGGAAGTCTTTTCCACTCTATTCCTCTTGGACGTCTTTTGTTCAGAATTATTCAAAACATCTGCATACTAGTCCGTCTGACCAAACAAGCTTTGTGGATAAGATACAGTATGCAATGTTACCAGATGTTTCAACCTAGAATCGACTGCTAACGAAATAATTAAATTCGGAAAAATACATGTGTTTTTTTTTCAATTTTCGAATTACATATCTTTTGTTGTTGTGTTTGAAGTTACTCGAAGTTGACCGGTTATTAGACCTTGAAGAAGGAAACCTACGCCTTAAAGGCGGAAGACTGCGTGAAGCATGTCGTATTTTTTAACTTTTGGATACTCGGACGGATTTTTTTACTGTGTTCAAAACTATCACAACCGAAATAAAGACAAGACAAACAGTTTGGGGAAAACAGAATTTTTTTTTCTTAGTCATAATGCCAATATCATTAAACAATTTTTATTAGCAACAATCTCTGCCGTCTGACGCATAGTAACTTTGTTTCAAAATTACCCACCAATCGAGATGTAGTTTCAAAGTTATACAGCGGCCAATGATTATTATATTATTTTTTTGACATTCACTCTGCCGCAACTGGAGCGATTCGAAAAGACTAGATATTTTCCTATCTAAAGTAGAGGGTCAAAAATCACTGAAGTGATGCCAAAAAAATATTTCGGGGTAGTTGGTCATAGTTTATTCTAAGCTCTACCAGATATAAAATACTTGTTTTCATAATGGTATTTATTTTAATTAAACTTTAAAGAATCAACTATGGTATTATAAACATACAAATAACAATTTCTAATGAGATCGCCTTGTTAATTTCAGTTTTTTCAAAATCACAATTGGCCATCTCTTCCGAGGTGTGATGGTGTGATGGCCATAACTTAATTCTACGCTTATATAATTACTTTATGGTCTAATTTTTTACATTTAAGTCTTCTTTTATGCTCTTCGCCACATCTGGAGAACATCGTTTCAAATACAGTGCAGTGTTCGTGAAGTCAAAAGTGGCACACTGTAAATTGAAACCAGTCATCGATAAGAAGTGTTTCGTAGTAGTTTTCACCACACCCACGACAGTTGTCCTTTACGCTCAGCTTTCTTTTCTTATTCTTATCTAATAATATTTTAAACGGAATATTGTCACTATTATCAGATAGTCCTCAATGGCTTTTCTTTTTACACATCGAATAGTATCTTTTATTGTCTGATCTTTTTCCTTCTTTATTTTGACACATTTTTTCACGTTTTCCTTTCAAATACTTTTTTCTGCAGAATTTTTTCTAGTTTTGATGTGTTCTTATGAAGTCAATAGTGTTCTAACTTGCTTTACTCGTTTAAGCAATTTACTCAATTTTTGTGGAATAGGTGATCTATCCCGTAAAATTTGAGATGGGGGGTAATCTGGATCTTTACTGAACGAAGCCTCTTGTACCGTTTGTATCACTTCTGTTTTCCTTTTCATTGTCCACAGCAGATGTACATTGAGCCAGTGAGGAAGGACTTGTGTAACAGAGGTATTCGTCGAGTCACTTGTAGATTCTTGAATAAGCGCATAATCCGGCACCGCTTCCGGGTTGAGGGGATACACTAAAGTTGCTTTAAATCAAGCAATTGCATTTTCCGACGATGCTGCTTTTCCCCAAGCATTGCTAAGTGAAAGTCCGAAAGAAAGCCTCGATATTCGACGTCCTGGGTCCAAAAGTGAAGTTATAATGATTTAAAAACAGAGCGATCTAAGGGCTGGAGTTAACGAGACGTGCGAATTGGCATTGATAACAAAATAATGTCATTCTGATTGGCATATTCCAATATTTTGACGGAGTAGCCAATTTCTTCTCGTTTTCTTCTCCAAATAAAGCAGGTGGTCCCATAAGTCCTTTCTTGTCATTATTTTTCTTTATCCTTCTTTCTAATGTTTTTCTAGGTATTTGGTATTGGATACCTGCCGCGGGTACGGATAATTCATCATTTTTCACAGCATTAATAGCTGCTTTTAGTGATTCTTCCGACCAGTTTTCTCTCATAGCCACTGCATTGAACGCCATTTCTGTACGATGGCACCATGGGCATCGTATACCGACTGCAATTGGTCATTTCTTCTCCTTTTGATGACACGAAACAAATAATTTTGACGTTTTAACGTAGCACTGTTCGTATACTTTGCAACAAATACAAATATCACCATTATTTTAAGAAATGACACTACAATTGTGTAAAACGATTGGCATCAAAACAATATTCACAGCAGTTGAAACAAAAAACAAAGGATTTACTTACTTTTTCTTTTTTTTCCGCCAAATGTTTTGCCGTACCGTTGCTCTCATGCACTACGCGCAGCGAACTAAACGCTAAGCAGTGACATCTAGTGAACGAGTCCTTGGAATATTTCGATAGGCCATCTCTCTCATATGGCCATTTACCCCGGACTTACCCTATTTGAGAAACAAATACACGGTTTTGATATTTACCTTGCCTATTGACTTATATTATATATATATAATTTGCTTTAAAGCAAATATTTATATTTGCATCCAAGCATCAAACAATTGATCAAAGTGTCTTCCCCATATGAATCGCCACATAATTGTGAAGGGTGCTGTATAAATGGTTAAGACATTGAATGGAAATAGAAAGAAAACTATCACAAATAGTGAATCAGATATATTTTGTGGAATTTGCAGAATTGTTCCGTTTTGAGCTGAGTTGCTGTACTCAGATCTCGATTTCGTGGGTACAGCGATCTTTGCTATCTGACAATACTATGATCTACTTCCAAAATGGAAGAAACATCATTACACAAAGCACTGCTAACGCCTTAATAATGTTTAAATACGTCCTGTCGGAATCTGCGCGTAACGAATTTCTCTTTTGGTATCCGAGTATATGAAAGAATATAACCTGCTCACCTGTTCTATAGAACTGCCAAGCACGGACACAATTTCTTGAGCTATGTTGTATCAATTCCTGATTGCAGAGAAAGAAAAGTAACTCGCATGTTACCCTAAGAGAAACGGTTTCTCTTTCGGTACATTTGGCGTGGAAAAAAGTGATACTCGACTGGGAAAGATGGATTTGATACCATTAGATTCGTAAAAAAATATATATTCGTTTGCCAGCGATCTCCTTTTATACGGTTTTCTTACTCGGTCATGTCTCACCTAACATATACTTTTGAGGTATACTCTTAGGTTGAACGAAAAAAGTGTCATATACCTTTAAATTAATAATGTTGAAGTTTTTTTCCTTTGTGTACATATATTATTTCCACTCAATGTGTCTACTATGCAGTACGAATCCCAAAAATACGAATCACGTTACACTAGTTTGCTGATACCAGTACCTGTCTTTCTGAAACAGAACCTGCTTGTTTTACCGTCTCACACTGGTATCAAAGTTTCTCTTTAAAATCAAATATGATGTTTTTTGGATGTCTCATAACATCTGCATTACGGAAACACATGTCACTCATTTCAGTCGGTTTGTCTGCTGGTCTGTCCGACGGTCAATCTGTGTGTTTTTGCCCCTCTAGAACTCGGATATTTGTAACAAAAATGAAAATCGTGCAAACTCCGTTTTAAGCTTTTCGTAGATTTCTCATTTTGGATTCTTTTCGAAGGGTCAATCAGTGAGGGTGGAGAGTAGTAGGGCTACAGGAGTGCATCTCTGAATGTGTTGGCATTATTATAATCATACGCTTCCAGCCCCTGTAATTCTATACTATACGAGAAAACATATATCATATTTCTTCGCATATTTGCCCTTAAAACGTGTATAGAGATACATATTCTGTACCCGCGTCGCACGCGAAGAACGTGCGAAGCTGGCCGCTGGCTAGCGAGGTCTAGTCATAGCACCGTTTGCAGATGGTTGGTACTGTCAGCTGGGTAGAGCAGGAATTCATAGGTCACAACGTTGTCAAATGGGAAGGAACTGAGACCCAACCTTTTTCTCGAAGGGGATAACTCATTCCGAACATAATTCTGATGACCGCGCTGCGTGGGAGTTGCAGAGTTAACGTACTTGACGCTATTTTTACTGATCTATTGGAACAGCTGGTCAGAGTCCACAGGTGGATACCGTAAATATTTACTACCGACTGAGACATATTTTATTTTGATTGATCTGCGAAAGTCCCTTATTTATAATGTCAGAAGAAGCGGTTACTCTATCCTTGGCCTTCCGATGCAGTATCCTGAGGTTTGCCTACCTTCAGCAGATCAGAAGGAATGAAGTATGGGCCATCGATATCTTTGCACAAATCAGCGGTGTAAGCAATATTTTCCACATTTTTCTTTGGTTTCTTGCCAATACATTTCTTCTTAATTAAATCGTTGAATAAGTCTAGCTCGGCTTCGTACACCTCGTATATGAAAATTTCTCTGTCTACCTGTAATGAAACATAAAAAAATATTGATGCTTTATGTTTCATTTTCACGATGAGACATGCCATCGCAAAATATGTACAGATGGGGAGGAACAGTGGTCCGAGTAGCTCAATCGTTTTAATTCCCAAAGGCTAAAGGTGGCTTTGTTACCAACCTACGCCTCACCGCATTATTGTTGTTACTGCCACTGCTGCGCATAGAAAAGATGCAGATTGAACTTTACAAACCATTCCTTCTTGGTTGAGTTGTGGACTTTTCTCATATTCACATATCCCCAAAGTGGTCATGCCCCTGTGATATTGTAGCACCTCTATAGCTCCCGCCTTCATCCTATCCATAAGGTTAAAAAGCTCTCCAATATGGTTCCTTTGGTAGAGCAAAGGGGGCTTGCCTCTTCCCGACCTGTAGATCAAGCACTTGTTCAGCAGCTCCAATATAAAAGTGATCGGATCATCGGGAGCAGCTTGAACCAAGTGGGCTATGATGAATTGGAAGAAGTCGAAGATCCTGTGTACGCGTAGGTACTTTTGAGCGCTCTTCATCGATACTGAGGTGCTATAGATGAATTCGTCCTTCTCTTCTTCTTCTGCTTCAGACTCTTCTGGTTTGCCTACTTCCATGCCGAGGTATTCCTCCCCACGTACCTGAAAAACAAGTCGTTCAAAAAAGGGAGGTTTTAAGATACGATGGATTAACTTTACAGTCCTTGTATCTCGTAAAATAGCCGTGTTGGAGGAGTCTACCCTGAGCATTTGTGAAGAACAAAAATTTAATATCAACCCTTTACAAGATCTTTAATAATAATAATAATAATAATAATAATATTTATTCACTCAATGTACAAAGATAACAAACAATATGGGTAAATAAATATAAAATCAAAACAGGCCCAATAGAAGGCATCGCCTGTACATGGACCAATAATTTAGGTTGAAACTGTAGAATGCAAATGACAAAAAAGGACAAAAATTAGCTACAGTAGATTATGTATTTAGTTGATGTTCGTATTTATGAGTTTATGAATTTCAGTCCTAGATATAGAATGTAGCCACTTTTTTAAATTTCTTTTGAAACAATTTCCGAAACGTAAATCTTTTAAGTCTTTAGGTATAATTTCATAAAATTTAGGCGCTAAATAGAGATATGATCGCTGCATTATAGATTTATGCGGTTGAGGAACTACTGTGCCACGAATTTTGTACCTGGTATAATGATTGTTTAATTTTTTGGTCGGTGTTTACAAATTTATGGTAGTGAGTGATACTGTGTAAGAAATAAAGCTGTCTTATATCATACATTCGAACATCTGCGTATAATTTTTCAGTGGGATAAAGTTTCGGTTTTTTAAATATCATTTTTAGAATACTTTTTTGAAAAACATCTAAATTATAGATATGTGAGGAACATGCAGCTCCCATGCTAATATACCATATGTGAGATGAGGCTCAATCAGTGCATGGTATAATGTTCGAAGATATTTTTCTGTCAATATATTCCCAAGGTATTTAATTTTGTAGGATACAAATCTAACTTTCTTTAAAATAGTTGACATGGATGTCCATCGTAAGTGAGGATCCAAGACCACTCCAAGGTATTTTATGTTGGGCACTCTATTAATTTGCATTTTTTGATCATTAATATTGAAGGAGAAATTTGTGTAATTTGGCAGATGTCTAGCATAAGATCCAAACGGTAAAAAATGTGTTTTAGAGTAGTTAATGCTTAATTTTCTACTGTTAAACCACTGAATAATTTTGATAAAATCATTTTCAATTACATTTTTCAGATCAGACCAGTCAGTGCCTTCATATAATATTGCAGTATCATCTGCAAAACTAGTTATTTTGCCAACACAATTAATTTGGAAAATATCATTTAAATATATATTGAATAACAGCGGACCTAAGACAGTTCCTTGAGGGACACCACACTCAATATACATTTCTTTACTAATGATTTTATAGATTGCCCAGACATACTATTTCAAAATTTTTTATTGTCTCCAGTTAGGCTGGGCTTATCTGGTTCTGTTAAGATTTAGAAGATGAAAATATTTAAAGGAATTGCTGGTAGTTGTGACAGCGTACTGATTCTTTGAGTAGTATTCTGTCATTTCTTACTAAGTCACACTGCTATAGTTGTAGTCATCGTTCTTGGCGGGTCAAAGTAAGACTACCAGTATTCCTTTATATATCTCCATCTCCCTCATACTTAAACATTCAACCTACCCCTGTGTGTGAACATTTGTTCGGTAAGCTCAAAGACATACGTTTTTTAGTTATGTATCTCCGTCTCTAAAACTTTGTCGTTACATATGAGTGCCCTTCAATCATATTTGCCAGAGTGACAACTTACTTGACATCGGCGTGCAATGTTAGTTGTCCTGTTATCAATCTTCAATATAAAATTGTACAATGCCCGGAATTACGATCAATGGAGAAGGCCGGCAACTTGTACTAAATTTATTAGAGTATTTTCAGGAAGAGAATGAAAACAGCGGTCCCCGGTTACCCACTTCATGCGTACTGGAGAGAGTATCAGATGCGCTGAAGATTAAGATCCGCCCATGGTACGAAGGCTCGATCTGTTTACTTATTTCATATGATGCTGATGACGTAACCGCCAAGAACGGTAACCAACTATATATGATATATCTTGGCTTGCTTATTGTGTTCATTTTTACATTTGGGTAAATTTTTTATACATGTGCATATAAACTAGTAATAGGACAGCACAAAGTGCCGTCTATCACCAGCTTCGACCACTGCGAGTAGACTATATCTCTCATACGACCAGAATCACAGTGGTGATGCGGCTGACAATGCGAACTGAGGTACAGTTCCTGTAGTCAGTGTGACCTTTTCACAGTCGCAGTGCTCAATTCTGGAAACAGATTGCACTTTGTGCTGTCTTATTCAGATATGTGTATATGATTTTCTTTTTCTAATGTTTGCTTACTGTAGGCTATTGTTGTTTGTCTTTTTCCTACTTTCCGTTATTCACTTTTACTTTAGTTATACAGGGTGTCCGCAAAGTTTGGGTTGTCCTTTTCAGAAACAACTACCCTTGAAATAACAAAGGTAATGTGTAGTGAAACGAGGGCGACCAAGTAAAAAAAAATAAAGGAAAAAGTACTCACTCTCCAGTTGACGAGAAGGGCTAAGTACGTCTCTGCCCGAAATCATACCGCTCCAACAGAAAATGAAATCAGCTGATGCGCTACCGAGCAGACGCAGGCGGTGGTGCAGACCACGAACAGAGGTAACAAATATGACGGCGTTGCCGTGTTTTCATTTTTTAGGTAAACGTACTTTATAGGTATTGTTCGAAGTTATCGCCGTTTGATTCAAAAACAAAGGTGCGTGCACGACGTAGCCAAGCATCGGTGCAGGCTTTGAGAATGGAATCCCTTCCCCGAATGAAAGCACCAGCTTGTTCAATTCTGAGACGAAGTTCGTCAACCGTATGCACTTCAGTTTTGTATACTAAGCGTTCCATTTCTCCCCAAAGAAAAAAATCACAAGGTGTTAAGTCTGGAGATCGCGGAGGCCACGCTACGGGTCCATTACGTCCGATCCACCTATTCGGAAATAATTCATTCAAAAACTCACGCACTTCGCGTCTAAAATGGGGCGGTGCATCATCGTGCAGAAACCACATTGATTGTCTTACACTTAATGGCACATCTTCTAACAAGGAAGGCAAAATGTTGCGTAAAAAGTCTAGGTATTGCATCCCGTCCAATCGATTTGGGAGAATAAATGGTCCAATGAGCATACCGTTCACCATGCCAGCCCAAACATTCACCGAAAATGTTTGTTGAAAATGTGCCCGACGGACAGCGTGCGGATTTTCTACTGACTTCAAAAAGTCCGGAACATTGTCATGTTGATGCAACAACCACTCAAAAAACCGCACTCTTGCTGGAAAATCGTCAGGTTGAAGGGCTTGTACGCGTTGGACTTGAAACGGATACAGTCCCTCTTCACGCAGCGTTTGCCACACTTTAGTTTTTGATACTTGCACTTCTCTAGCCATGTCTCTAGTGCTTGTTGAGGGATTCTCGTCTACGCGATTCAGTAGTTCTGCCTCAACTTGCACCATTCGTGGTTGTCTAGGCCTCCCACTGTGCCCACCTCGAAATTCCTCCAAATGGCCCGTATCCCTGACTCTCTGGACCAGGAACACAAATCTGCGGGGCCTTGGATGATGTCGTCTAGGGAAACGATCTGCATACACTCGCGAAGCCTCTGTAGCATTTTGAAGACATTCGCCATAAATTAACAACATATCAACGAGTTCATTATTGGTGTATGAATGTGCCATTATTATTATTATTATTTTGAAACGCAATCGATTATACGGGTTCGTTTACCTCTACACGCGTGACCGTAACCGTCGGTTGAAGGTTGCATACTGACCTGACACACTGACCCCGACCCAGTTCTGTCGTTGGGTTGAGCCAGTGACCTTGTACCACTCGGTGATGTCGCGGGTCGCGGCTACAGGACGGTATTCAGATATTTTTGATGTTGCAGAGCACTTTATCTCGGTTCCCTTAAGACATTGGTGTATATGGTACTAAGAAAAATTGCTTATGTTTTCAAGATCTACACGTCGTGTAAAGGAAAACCCCAACTTTGCGGACACCCTGTATATTTGGTATATATTTTTCCCCTAAGTTGTTCTGTAATTGGAACTATGAGCAATAATTACTTGGTTTTTGTTTGCGTAAGAATTTTAAGTCACTTGGACAGTTTGCATTTCGCTAAGTATTATGATCTACCACATGCCAAATCATCATAAAGACTATGTCCACTATCCACTGGAAATATCCTATGAGGTTAAGCTAAATACATACGTTTAGCCATCGGTCTAGGCGGAATTGTAGAATACTTGTCGAAAAAGAGTTAACTGTGGGAACTAGGAGACGAGCTATGATGTAATCAAATCACATTCACGCCCCGTCAACACAAACCCCAGCGCGCAACGTTTAAATTTGCACGCTCCTATTGGCCAACGGGCCATAAATGCCCGGGCTGTGACAAGCGAATAGAAGTAACGATTGGATGCTTATCTTTGTTTTCACAGGGTATAAATGGGATCTGAATACATTATAGTCATTCGATTCTTTTAGAATAGGAAAATCGATTGTTAACGACGAGGCGTGTAAAATATTTGCAATAAATATCTTCAGAATTTACTTTGACTTGCTCGTTGCATTAAAATACATGGTCGAGTATGCGTAAGTTCTGTAAATGCACAAGATATTATGGAATCCCAAAACTGCGCTCTACATAATTTGATGACTAAAACTGTCCTAATAGACCTGTTCATACCTGCAAGCCCATAAGATACTCCAGTTGCATTTTTTGTCCAGACAAATCACTTTTTACAGCTGAAAGCTCGGTCTCTGTTTCGATTGTTCTTGCTCTGGAAGAACTGCTTGCAGATGAGCTAACCGTTAACTGTGATACAGTACCTCTTGCTGTTTGCTCCTGTTGTTGCTTGTACATAATCTGCAATCTATAAAAACCTTTCTGAGAAAGTAGCCAAAGACTAACCGCGCAAAAATTAAGAGAAGCATGTTTGGCATGGTGGTGAATGAATACGTGAGAGAAAATAGAGTTGAGAGACTGTTGACATTCTATGTACAGAGTAGGGAAAAACATCCATCTTTATTGTAAGCCATACTATGAGATCTGAGATACTGTCCCCTTAGTTCAGGAAGTATCTTTGCTCCCGCTTAAAAAAATAACCTGATACGGAGTTTTTTGGATAATATTGTTCATCTTATTTAACGAATCTGCATGTTACCAGGCCCACAATCGCGCCACAAGTTGTTCAGTTTCTTCAAATGTATTTCAAAAATTGTTCTTATTAGTCCGAAATACTTTATTAGGTTCTTTGGGTCATTTTGAATGAAAAGGGTAGATATGATTTTCTCTATAAAGTTGAATATTCGAAATACGAGCAAACTAATATGCCATAATCGACCCAATAATACAATATGAAAAAGGAATATTTTAATATTGCCGAATCTCCAAAACATATCCCAAACATCCATTAAATAAAATCTCAAAACATTTTAGGGGGGATAGTTTTTGTAAATTTTGTATTCCTGATTGTTAGTCAAGCCTGCGCTTAATGTACTCGTATATGTTAATGTGAAAATCCGAACTTAGTGAATGTCGGCATTCACCGGTTAGTGTCGATACAGAAGATGGTCGATGCTATCTTTAAATAAAAGTAGTCAAAAGTACGTAAGGTTAAAAACATTTGTTCTATTTGTTTGCTAGCTTCTTAAAAAACTTTTAGTCACTATTTTCAAAGCTTATTGGCGGGGAAGTATTGTAATCGCGAAAAATTTCGAAATTGAGATATCATGTTTTTTGATGTTTCATTAGACGTACATCACGGAAACCCCCCCTCTATAACTCGGAAAATGATATTCAAAAGTTGATAAAATTTTGACCGCAGTTTAGTACTATAGCAGGGATGTGTACTTTTATGGTTTTAAACAATAGTAGCAGTTGCTGCTGTTATCGTCAGAAAACGAAACAAAAAAAAGAAATGAAAAGTGCTCAAAATCTGTTTTTGGGTGTTTTCGGGGCTCCTGATCAGCCTCCAACAATTTTTGTAGGGGTAGATAATCGGAGTTGGGAGAATGTTCGGGAAAGGGGTATCTCTTATTTTTTGTCCGTGTCACCGCTTATCAAAGCGTGGGAAGTATAGAGTCAACCCGCTCGACGCCATTTTTTTAAAGTAGGTTTTACTTTCAGCTTTTTAAAGTATGAAGAGCTGTGAGGATGAACAGTGTACTAAAAAAAATCCAAAAATACATTCACCAGATCGTTGTTCCTCTCCATTACTACTCTTGAATCTAGAAATTTCTGAAGGAGAGAAAAGAGTATGACAATCAAGGTGGCCATAAACGCGCCCTACAATTGTAGGGACGACTGACGATATGGGCCTTAAGCACAAACTGATACTGCACTGATCAGACAAAATACAGGGTGTTTCAGTTTATTGTTGCATAACTTTAAGATTCGATAGAACTTTTAAAATTAATGCATAAAGTCTATATAAACATGGGTCGAGAAATGCGTGGCTTCCGAAATACAGGGTGTATAAATTTACTTTCTAAAATAGTTTTTTTTAAATATTTCGAACAATATTTGATGTGTAACAGTGAAAATTGGTATACAAGGGTGTTTTGGTACGACAAAACGAACATTTTTACTGTAGCCGCTAGAGGGCGCTCTCTGCTGTACCTGTAGTGTATTAAAATGACCGAAAAATTTTTCTCAGTGCAATTTTTTGTTTTTTGAATAAAAAAACTGATTCTTCGCACTTTTCGACATAAAAAAGCTCTCCTGTGAGTTTTCGTTATAGTTAGCTGTTTTTGAGATATTTCGATTTTGAAGGTTCGATGCATTTTTAATTATTTATGTTAAAATAACGTTAAAAAGTCAGTATCTCGATAATTTTTAGAAGTAGGCTGTGCCTGCAAATATTTTGGAAATTGAAAGCAGAATAAGGTTAAACGTCAATTAATTGACAGTTAGTTTTGTTGTCTGTTGAAACCTGAAACGTTTTTTGCAATTGCCATTTTTATTCTCCAATCAAGAGTTAGTGGATATTCATTTTGTGTATGGCTTTGTAAATGGAAACGCAGCAGCCAGAGAATACGCACGAAGATTTCCAAACAGACGACATCCAACTCGCTCAGTATTTGTAAGAGTGCATCGCCAAATAATTGAAAATGGTTTTGGAAATCTCCAAATAAATCAAAACATAAATGTTCGTCAGCCCAGATTCACCCGTATCATTCTGCGTGAGTTTGATAGAGATCCGACCACAAGTGTTATGAGAGTTTCTGGTGCCTTGGGAATTTCAGCAAGCCATGCTCACCGTGTTCTTAGAAATGACCATAGACGTCCTTACCATTTGCAACTTGTGCAAGGACTACTGCCAGGGGACGGAGAACGAAGAATCACATTTTGTCAGTGGATTCTTGATAGAACTGATAATAATAGGGAGTTTTTAAGTAACGTTTTATGGACCGATGAGTCATGCTTCACTAGACGTGGAGTGGTAAATTTTCATAATCAACATATTTGGTCGCAAATTTTTAGCATGAATTTAGTGTGAACGTGTGGATTGGTATCTACCGTAATCGACTATTTGGACTCTACCTTTTGCCTGCAAGGTTAAATGCTGCGACCTTCTTGGAATTTTTAAAGGCTGAACATGCACATATATGTGGGATGATGTTATGTTAGATTTAAGAAGATTGGCCTGGTTTCAGCTTGATGGTTGTCCAGCTCATTATTCGAGAATTGTTAGAAACTGGCTGGACGAAAATTATCCAGAAAGATGGATCGGCCGTGCAGGACCAGTCGCCTGGCCTCCACGATCCCCTGACCTAAATCCATTAGATTTCTTTGTGTGGGGATTTCTAAAAGAAAAAGTGTACCAGACTCCCGTAACCACAAGAGATATGCTAATAGACAGAATCAGGAATACATGTGATGAAATAAGGCCTTATTTGAATAATGCTATACCACGTTCGATCATTCGTAGATGTGAATTGTGTATTGAACAATTGGGTTTACATTTCGAGCAACTGCTTTAGATTTTGTATGTTTGTCCTAACTATCCAATAGCATTTTAGTTATAATAATTAATTTAATTTGTTAAAAATAATATTGGAAAATTAAACAAATTAATATTGTTTTTTTGTGTTTATTTGGAGCTAGGAATTATTGCTGTGTTTAAAAACACAATGTAAACGATCATCTTAATTACTTGTATTGCCCAAATCGAAAATGTAAAAAAAATATTATTTTCCCATAAATAATTAAAAATGCATCGAACCTTAAAAATCGAAATATCTCAAAAACTATAACGAAAACTCACAGGAGAGCTTTTTTATGTTGAAAAGTGCGAAGAATCATCTTAATACACTACAGGTACAGTAGAGAGCGCCCTCTAGCGGCTACAGTAAAACTATGCCCATAGTTCGTTTTGTCGTACCAAAAAACTCTTGTATACCAATTTTCGCTGTTATACATCAAATATTGTTCGAAATATTTAAAAAAAAACTATTTTAGAAAGTAAACTTAAACACCCTGTATTTCGGAAGCCACGCATTTTTCGACCCATGTTTATATAGACTTCATGCATTAATTTTAAAAGTTCTATCGAATCTTAAAGTTATGCAACAATAAACTGAAACACCCTGTATAACGAAGGAGCAGCGAAGTTAGATCGAAGTATCTGAGAGCTGTCTCCGAAGGCAATTCGCTGAAGTTCGCGTCCTTTGCTTCGGACTATTTTACCGGAAATCAGAGGGAAGAACTACCACGAAGTGCGAAGACGAGGCGAAGTCACTCTCCCTCACGCTCTACGAAGCTAGTCGAATACGGAATGTGCGGCGAAACTCGTCGTGTCTGGGACCGGCTTCACGTAAGGTTTGAGAGCGGGTGCGTGCAAGCTTGGCCAAGTTAATTTGTTATTAGGCATTATATTATTTGTAATCTATGGCTACTGCAGTAAGTCGTGATCAGTGTCTTCAAAAGTTATAAGCCTTAATTGAAAGTAAACAGGAAGACAATTGCTTCTATTTTTCTCAAGAAAGGCACTCCAAAGTTGTGTCAAGTGAATTCTGCTAAAAGTAAGTGCAGTACACCTCTAGACTTCAGGTGTTTAAAACGTTTTGACATATAAAAAGTTAGTGATGATGAAAAGTTACTTGTGCCATTAAAACCAGGAGAAACAAATATCCAGTACCTATTATGTTACAAATGCAGAGTTGTTTGTTATACCTTCCGAAACTTACATTAGAATAACTACAAGCAAAATACAAAGATATTACTTATGGAGTTGTAATGTTTCATTTAAGCTTGTGTAAACAGTGTCAAATGGACCACAATGCGCCTAATAAAGGTATTATTGTGAAACCAATGACCAATACCGACTTGAACTCTAGATGTCAAGTCGATTTAATAGATTTGCAGTCACACATCGATCGCGACTACACATTTATAATGGTATACCAAGAACCTTTAACAAAGTTTGTCCAGTTACGACCATTGAAAACCAAGAGCGCGGAAGAAGTAGCATATCCCCTTGTTAACATTTTTTTAACATTTGGTGTTACCGCCATATTGCATTCGGATAATGGTAGAGAGTTCAGTAGTCGAGTCATATCTGAACTATGCACTATGTGGAAAAATATTAAAATAGTGCACGGAAAGCTTCGTCATAGTAAAACTCAAGGCTCGGTAGAAAGAACCAATCAGGCCATACCGAATACGTTAACTGCGTGGATGAATGAAGACAATGGTCAGAATGTTTGCCGTTTGTTCAATTTGCCGAAAACATAACTTATCACGAAGGAAAACGTCAGAGTCCATATGAAGCCATGTTTGGCGTTAAACCAAAAAGAGGCCTAGCATCGTCATTTCTCCTTTGCGGAGAAATTAAGAATATTGAAACTGAGGAACAGCTAGAAGTCTATT